AATTTCAGTCTTCTATATGTGGATATACAGTTTTCCAGCAGCATTTGTTGTTGAAGAGGCTGTCTTTTCTCCATTGGTGCGTTTTGGGGTCTCTTTGTCAAAGATCAGCTGGCTATAGATGCATGAGTTTATATTTGGATCCATTGGTCTTCTTGTCTGTTTTTATGCCAATACCATGCTGTTTTTATTACTATGGCTCTGTAGTATAGTTTGAAGTTGAGTAGTGTGATGCCACCAGCATTTGGACTTTTTGCTCAGAATTGCTCTGGCCTATTCCAGGTTTTGTGTTTCCATATGTATTTCATGACTGATTGCTTATAAGAGACTCATCTCATGATGATTCTTTATTCGGCCAAGGGGCACCACATTGTTCCTTTAGAGCATCTCCATTATTCTAATTCCCTTTGAGCTCCCTGTCTTAAGAACGTGCTGGCAAAGTCTCCAAAATGCAGTTGAAAAATCCAGCCCCGGTGACTGAATCCTGCCTCTCTGAAGAACTCTGTCCAATTTGGATTTTCCACACTTTCCCGGAAGACAGACTCTTCCTTCATGGAGCATACTGTGTCCACGTAAGGCAGACTGTATAGCCATGTTTCTTTCCTGAAGATTGAGCCATGATTCCTCTTCTAACTGGATACTAGGCACCTTTACCATGTTCACCTTCCTTAAAATTTCTGGAACCACATTCCGACAAATTGCAATTCTCTTTCTGTAGATGATTCCTGTTGATTCATGTTTCTTTTCCTCCACTATTTTTACAGAGATGACATTTTTATCCTGGGGTTGGGGCACCACCTGCTCGAAGGGTACTTGTACACCTGGAGCACTTCCACCGTGACCCCCATCCCCGCGCGGACCCCGGCTCCAGAGGGGCGTGGATTTCTCCCCCACTTTCAAACTTTGGAAACTTTTTTTGTCCTTTTGACAGACAGCAGGCCACGCCACGTCCCTTCCACCAATGTCCTGGAGTGGCGCGGAAGGCGCTGGGGAGCCGCGTCGCGTCTCCTTCCCTGTCCCCTCCCTGGCCCGCTTCAGCTAGTTTCTCTGCCTAGAAGCCACCACTCCTGAATCTAAGTCTTGATCTCAAGGGAGAGGCAAGGCCTGGGGATGGAGAAATTATCAGTTTCTTATTGAAGCACCTTTTCTCAGTGAATCAGTGTTCATGCTAAATTTAAGACAAATTATTTAACTATTTATAGGACATCATAGCTCAAGCATTTATGTCCAAGTAATAGATTGGTGAGGACTGTGGACTTTGGAATCAGACCATGTTTAAGCCTCAAACTCTTAAGCACTCTGAACTGGGTGATATGATATTACTACATTTGTGAGGTTTAAATGAAATAAAGCATACCATCTAGCACAGTCTGAGGTATACAAATAACCACTCAATAATGTAAGTGGTCAGTAATATAAACTATGCAAGTCTTAAGAAAGGTGATGGATACAAAGAACATCACCTATAAACATGGTAAAACTGAATGGGAATGTTTTATATTAAAAATTGTGAGGCAAAATTTGAGACTTTGAAATGGATAAGATTGATGAGTGCTCTGTACCCTTCTGGGTCATCTTTGTGTTTAAGTTACTTTATGGTTGTGTAAATTGTAGAAAAATTAGTAATACAAATGATTCTTGTCCATAGAAATGCCAAAGAATTGTGCCCAGAGGAGAGGCTGTATTTTATTATTCCCAATTACCTTTACTCTGTATCCTTTGAACTCTGAAGTGGTTGCAACATCTTACTGGTTTCCTCATTCACTAATAAGGTAAGTATAGCCTTGAACACCTGTTTGTTTTATATTTACATAAGAATTATGACTGTCTTAAAATTATGTTTTAACAAAAGTAAAGAGTAATTATCATCCTTCGATTTGAGGAAGGAAAATTATAAGAAATATGAACATAAAAAGAGAAGCTACTAACATATTTAATTAGAAGGTGGGATATAGGTTAGTGCTCTGATAAATGATATTAAAACTGGATCATATTTATAATGTGATAAAAATTCTCAAATCATGAAATGGCTTGTCAATTTTTCTTAAATATGTGTTGGGAAACATTAATCTATTAAGAAATGTATGTTCTGAGAATAATAAAGAATATTAACTTCAAATAAGTTGTAAAAACAGCTAAGTGGAATTGATTTCCTTGCTATAGATCTTCCAAGAGTAAGAGTCCTCAACTTAAGTGTATTATAAATGAGAGAGAGAGAGAAAGAGAAAGAGAGAGAGAGAGAGAGAGAGAGAGAATGTACCATTATTTTAAATGTACATGGACTGTTGTGGAATCTTTATTTTTCCTTTTCCTAAGTATTTGACATTAACATTTCCCAAAGCATACATTTAAGCAAATAGGTTTGTTTAAAACCTGATTTGAAGGAGCTTGTGAAATTTCCGGTAAAGAATGACAGTCTATACAGTAGGGAAAGAAGCAGGTTAGAGTTTTTCCTTCCTGTTATCTGCTTTCCATGGGCCTCCTTCACCTGTTCTGACAGGATCACCTATACTCCACTGGGTCTCAGCTTGAACAGTAGCAGTGGCAGGGAACTTACTATTTGAGCCTTTCCCTTTGGGCCACCTGGGTGCAGTGGCCAGACACAAATACCACCTCGGACTTTTTAAAAAGCCTTCTTAAAAGACATCATGCTTTTATATTTAAAATGTAACATGTGTGCCTAAATTCAAATGTCTCTATTATAACTAAGCTGTACCAATTGCTTAATATTTAAAGCCTATATGTTTGAAGCAATTTAGAGGACAGTCTCAGGACCACAGAAAGGAAATGGGAAAAGTAGTACTTGATTTAAGGATTCAGGTCCTAAGATAATTTGTCCAGGGAAGCCCTGCAATACATTGTGATTAAAAATAAATTTCATCTGGCAGTGAATTATTTAACTCTCCAGTATCACAATTCTTCTAGAGATCTCTATTTAAACTACTAATTTGATAAATCTAAAATGTTTTGTTAGATGAATTTTTAAAAAAGCCTTTTTTTAGACAATTAAAACAAAACTTCTATACAACATTATGTAAGAGTAAATGACATATGCTTGACTTCCTTACTAATGCAATGTTCAGAACAAGGTTTCTATGAATTTAGTGTTAATGAGATTTTGTGGAATGTATATGAAAAATGTCGAGATTATTCTTAAAGCAACATGCAGTCTGACTGAAGATTTAGTAATGTGTGTTACACAAATAGTTGGAAAGCAAGACAAGAGAGAGTGTAAATGAGTGAGAAACTGAATGACTATTATGGTAGCCCATGTGAGAAAGAAACTTGTATACACTGGACTAAGGATAATGAGAATGATGGGCTTTAAAGGAGGAAAATAATGTGAGGTAAAGCTGAATTCCAGAGATATTATTCCTGGCAGGTGACTTGACAGGTATGTGATATAGAAGGACGATAGCAGAGAACAAAATAAAGTTATTTTTCTATAACTAAGAGTTCATGCTTAGGAATAATAACAAATAATACATGTAGAGCACAGTGAAATTAGATAAGAAATATGAAAGAATTTTGACATGTATCCATATTATTTTACTAAAACATTAAACTTTATGAATCTTTTGGTGAGCTCTACCAGTTTAAAGGGATTGTCCTTAATTTCTTTCATATGTTTTTGATATATGCTAAAACCTGACTAGTTCAGTTAAACTGAGAAAGATTCTAGTCTGTGCTAATTAGATTTATGGATTGTGGATAATTTAATTTTTAAAAAGAAATTTATTCATTTTTAAAATTTGTGATAGAATAGCTACACTATGAATGTATCTGTCTTGTTAAGCTTCTAGAGAGAAGTACTTTATTTTCAAAGAATGATTAAGAATTAGGCTTTTTTCCAAAAAAATTTTTTTTAAGGAAAAACCTTTTTCACAAGAATAAAAGGTGCTTCAAATGATCAATTCTTTCTTAATGCTCATCATTATCTGTGTATATCTCATTTTTTATTGTTAATTAGCTAAGCAAATCTTTTCCATATTATATAGACTTGAAGGTGTATGCCATCCTAATTGTGCTGGATGTTTTCTTCTGGCCGCTGGAGAGATAGTTCTACAGCAGCTCTATGTCTTGTTCTTTGCTCTGAGAGGCTGACTGTATGGATTACCTCTGCTTAAGGGTCAATAGTCCCCGTTGCTTTCTAGCTCTGGTAGTGTTTATCTAATGGGAGGGAGAAACTGGAACTCTGGAAGATGGAAGCAGGGTGTGCTTGGGCACCTTCCTGCCTTGGTTAGTTATGTCCATGCTCTCAAAGACACAGCTTGTCTTGGGGTACTCTTACTCCTTCAGGGATTCCAGGAACCATGTGCTTCATCTTCAAGCCCATAACTGTTAGTCCAGGCTCACCTCTTGTTGATTGCTCTTAACCTTACTACACTACAATAAAGAATTCCTCTTGAAAAAATACTGCAGTGGCCTTTTTGGTCATACCACCTGTTTCCTACTGTGACTCTGACAGAAAATATCTTTCACTGAACTGGATTAAAATAATCAGTAAATAGAGTTGAAAAGATAATGTTTCACTGATTATATAAACATATTTCCAATGAGTTGAGCTTAATATTTTTTGAAGAAGTAACTTATGCCATTACTTATTAGGAAAGGTAGAATGCCTGTTACATGCTGGACACTGATATGAGATAGGAATTTAACTAGCTCACATTTTCATGATATTTATATTTATATTAGTTATAATAAATAATGACATTTATATACTAATACAGTATGGTGTTACTTACACGAGGAAACACTGATTCATATATCATGGGATATTATATAAAAGGAAATAAAGACAAAGATAGAAATAATTAATAAAAAAAATCTATCAAGTTATAGATCACTCTGAGTATTAGCTTTTCCATTATTCAAGCACTTGAGGGCATCTGTGTCCTTTTCAGGGCATTTACAATAGCATAATTACATCTTTACTAAGTTAAATTGCAGGAATTGTGTGTGCATTTAAACTCTGTATATACAAGATCATCATGACATTAGTCCTAAATGAAAAGAAGAAATGTATTTGAAGTCTCTTTATTATTGCAAATATGCAAACTGGAATCAGTTTTTTCAAAAATTACTCCAGATAGACATTTCTGTCTGTCTCTTACTTTGAAACTTTTGAGAAAAAAGATAAAAATTGAAATTAAAGCAAGTATTCATTTTTCAAAATTTCTAGTAGATCTAATGTCAGTGTAATCTCAGCTCCATCTACCATATAAACAATATGGATCACTAACTTTAATAGTTATGGTTAGATTGACTTTATTAGTTCACTGTCAACTATACATATGGAAAGAAAAACAACCTTCTGATGTGTTTCCAGTAAGATTGTAAATTTCCTCAAATATTCAGTGTCCTGATTATTCTGTTTTCCAATTAAATCTCTATTTGGGGATAATACAAAATACAGCACAAGTCATAAGTTTTGCATATATCTATTAATCTTATAGGGAGATTTTTGTTTTCCATCATGTAACTCCAGAATTGGAAGCCACATGGCATTGAAACTTGGAGTTGGTGGTAAATATATAGATCTTAGTTATAGATATATTAGAGATCACGAGACTGCCACTCCATTTTAGAAGATCTTATGGGGGGGAAGAGGAAAATATACTGCAGTTTCTCAGTTCAAAATTGTCAGTCAAGTTTTCCTCAGAGAGTTAAGAAGTTGTTTAGCAAATAATAGGTACATCAGTACTATCCTACCTTGAAAATTTTTTCACCATTGAATTTAAATAAAGGCCACAAATTCTCCAGGATTTCTAAAACTGAAAGGTAGCAGGCCTCATTCTTCACACACACAAATTTAGGTGTAAAAAAACATCATGGCAATAAAAGC